TTCTTGTTAGCTTTTATATCAGTCATATTGTCCACTTATTTCAGGGTGCAGGGGATTGTTCGAACTGTCTTTTGTAATAGATGGCTCAGACAGTATTTCTGCTGCTAATTTCGAAAAACTTCGAGTTTCCATTGCTAGAATGGTAGACAGCTTCCACATAGGTTCAGGAGAGACGAGAATGGGCATCGTGGTTTATAGCAAAGACGTGGCTCTCTCCGTACCCCTATCAGATGACCCCGTATTCTTAAGGAAAGAGGCTCTTGGTATGCCACACCCAAGAGAAGGAACAAACACACATCTAGGGATTCAGGCCATGGTAGAGGAGTTCCGAAAAAACGGTCGACCAGGTGTTCCCAGGGCGGGTGTGGTGGTCACAAATGGAATATCGAAGGAAGAAGAATTAACTCAACAATGGGCGAAAACAGCCAGGGATGAAGGGATAAACATGTTTTCTGTCGGTGTCGGGAAATATACAGAGCCAAAAGAACTGGAAGGAATAGCATCAGCACCTAATCAAGCAATCAACGTCGATTCTTTTGACGAACTTTTGGCCACTTTACAAAAACTCGTACAGCTTGTTTGTCCAAGTTAGGGGAAATTTTTGCACCAGTCAAATTTTGTTTTATTTACTGCTATTGGAAAAAAATGTTTGAAAGATGGATAGTGACAAATTTATGTTTACATGAATAATATAGTGCAACCCGTTACACATGAAAGTTGCATATCATGCTGTAATTAAGATAATCCATCTTATCCATGCCGTTGGGCAGTAAATAAAAGCATTTGCAATATAAATATGCTTCTGCACTTGCACAATACACGAATCAAACAAGCAATGTTCCATATTTTTTTTCAGTTCCACAATGTCAAAAACTTTAATTTTTGGTAAATCAGCATACATGAATCTTTTTTTCTAGACAAGTGCATGATGCCAGGTGTAAAATCTTACCCACATGACGTATCTAAAAACTGTCGGATTTACTGGAAATGTCAGGGAGAGGAATCAAAGCTGCCCAAAGGGATACGCGTATGCAGCAGTTACCCAGTCTTGTGTTAAGGATCCAAAATGCGTTGACCCCTGTGGAAATGAGGGTACAATCTGCAAAAAGAGACCAGCCATTTACCAGCCCAATATGTTTGAAGAATTCATTGAAGGGTATGGTTGGGTTCAAAGGCCCTGTCCTTTCGGACAACATTACAATCAGGCTACTTGTGGGTGTACCATCAAAAAGCCGCCTAGAGGGCGTAGAGCGTTAGCAGGTATTGGTAAATTGTAGGAAACACTACAGAACGTTTCTATATAGTAGATGTAGAGCTATGGAATTCAAAAAATTACTCAGCTAATCGAACACAATCCCTCCTTTCCTTTTCAACTCTATATGCCCAAGCTATAGCTGTCTGTGATCATTGAGAGACTGTTACAATAATAGTTCATATATATTGTAGATGAATGAGAAAATGGGGGATATAACCTTCAAATGTCAACACTTCAATGATTTAATGCATTTAATGCATTTAAGTGATTTAATTACTGCGCTTGAAATGCTTACTCAGTTGTTGATTGTAAATAAAAATTTGCTTGAAAAAGAACTGAATTAAGTGGTATATTGCTTTTGACAGCAAAAAAATCTAAATGATGCCACCTGTTAACTTACACAAACTAAAACAAACAAATGTGTTTCTATATCTGTCCCTCCAACTACAGTATATATAATAATTAATCAGTAAGATATAAATAATCTAAATGATGCCACCTGTTAACTTACACAAACTAAAACAAACAAATGTGTTTCTATATCTGTCCCTCCAACTACAGTATATATAATAATTAATCAATAAGATATAAATAACTTAGTTTACAACACATCTTTATGATCAGAAGTAACCAACTACATTTCATCACATCGCTATAGGGATAAACATTCTTTTAAAGTCCCAATGAATTCTGTCAAAATGTTTTCATCAATAATAAATAATTGTCTCAATGATACATATACTGGTTGATAGACTGCATGTTATACATTGATCAGCAAAATAAAAGAAAGCACTTGTTTTAGGGTGGGGACATTACTTATCATATGTATTAATTTTGTTATGAGTCACATTTATAAAACAAGCTTGATCAAATATTGGTGAAACTAATTATAGGTATAAATCAAAACAGCTCCCTTTTCACAAAACAAGGGTAAAATAATTTTATTTAAAGTTAATTGTGTGTCATCGTTTAAAATAAACAATGTGTACTTTAAAATGAACCCCCCCCCCAAAAAAAAAACACAAGTTGTTGAGCTCATTTCAATAAATATTTTACTTTTTAAGGTTTTCAATTCCGGTAATTATATTTATTTTAAGTCTAGTAATTAATCCTGGTCAATTATTAAACTTCAACAGATCCAATGGCTGATATGTATTTATCAGTCGAGTCTTAACACTCTATTCTGTAGCATGTCCTCTACTTTAACCAGAAAAGGAAGATACGTGTTAAGAAGATAGATACAGAAAAAAATTTGACCTTCAAATTCCAACAAAGGAGCTATCTTGCACTTTAATAGTAAAATGAAAAAAATGTGCCTTTCTCATTAAATTGCTGCCATCAGTTCTGCAGTGCAGGGGCCCGTTTCACTAAAAGGCGTAAGATACGACCAAACTTAAGTTAGGCCTTAGGGCGTATGCCAAAATTTAGTCCGGCGTAAGTTGCGTTTCACTAAGAGGCGTACGCCTGGCCGTAAATACTATTATCGGACTAAGTTAAGGCCAGACGTACGTCCTTGACAACGAGCTTATGCACATGCGCATACATATCATTTATAAAGAGAGAGAGAGAGAGAGAGAGAGTAAGAGAGGGGAAAGAGAGAAGAGTGAGAGAGAAATTTATTTGATATTCATTGAAAAGATATATGGAAAAGATCACATAGGTATTCTTCTTTATTATTTATTGCAATATTTGTTTTGAGGTCTATAATAAAAACTTAAAAGCGTTGAAACATATTTAGATTGAAAATAAATCGTAGATTGAATCATGTTGAAAGGAATACACTCGCAACTGTGTTTTGAAGTGAAATAAAGAATTTAAAAACCCCTCTCTCTCTCTCTTTCTCTCTCTTTCTCTCTCTCTCTCTCTCTCTCTCTCTCTCTGATCTGTCATGTTGATTTCCATAGCGTTTTCTTAAATAATGTGAATTTCGTGACAAACAAACATGTAAATACCGATATTGTCGTCTGCAATATTCGCTATTGACTCTGCACAATCAAAATGTCTTCGGAGAGTAAAAAACGTAAGCCAAACTGGACTGATGATGAAATGAAAATTCTAACATCTTGTGTAATTGAAAACAAAGATGTATTATTTGCAAAACTGTCGGCTTCAGTGACAAACGAGAAAAAGAAAGCTGTATGGGAAGACATCACAAAGCAGTAAGCATTTAGGTTTTTAAAATAACGATCAACAAAAATATAATAACATCTCCGATTTGATTACATACAATTTGTTCATGTCTACATGTTACATGTAATGTATATTTATGGTCAAAAACCTAACTAAATTGGCAAAAATAGGAATGTTATTTAGGTTTTGTGTCTTTTCATATATTTTTTTTAATTCTAACAAAAAATATACAAATGAAGGTAGACTGGGGATTCAAAAATATATTTAGTGTTAAAATTTTACTGCAGAATAAATTCTTCTTCTGCCTTGTGCAAGAGGGAAACAGCAGAAATAAAAAAGAAATGGAAAGATGCAAGATCCATTGTAAAGAAGAAAGAAGCCAGTAGAAAATACCAGACGAAGAGAACGGGCGGAGGGCCTCCCCCGGAATCTGTATTCAAGGCATGGGAACTTGTCGTATGTGTTTTCTAATATTTACCTAAAATTGATATAATTATATGTACTATGTATTAAAAAAAACTTTCGATCGTTGCTAAGATGAGTTTCCGATACTGACATAATTATTTTTTCATTAATGTTTCGCACCGTTTATTTTTTTAATAAATTGGAAAAGGCCACAACTATTTTTTTTGTTTTTATTGCTAGATTTTGTCAATTATACCGGATGAACTTATCTCTAGGATTGACGGAGGGGTTGATACTGCCTTTGCCAGTAATTGTGAAACAAGTACTAGTAAGTATAAATACATGGTACATGCATGTACATTGTAAACATACGTTCACTATATGTATTTTTATAACCTCATATATAGTTTTGCCTTCCCGACTTTTGCTTCATATACTATTTGATTCTCCATGCTTTGTATATTTAGTATTATTGTAGTATACAGTAGTTATAGTTTAAAAAAAATGAAATATATGATATCTAAATACTAATATTTCTTTGTAACAGTCAGATAACTTAGCCTCATCATGCACTGCAGTCCCATCGGAAATTTCCGCTGGAATTCCATCCTTGATTGGTTTGTATAATTATACATATTATATAATATACTTATAAAATTTTAAATCATAAAAATTATTATAATAGATTGTCAAAAATTTGATATGCATGTTTTTCACACACAGAACACATAAGTGTGTAGATTTGAAATATTGATTTTTTTTTTCAAATTGAAAAATGTATGTTTGTACATGTATATAGTAGAAGAAGTTGACGTTCCGGAAGAAGCTCCAAGTGTACATGTGTCCGCCCGGGCCTTCCACCGACACATTCTTTGCTTCAACTCTGTATGGATCTAAACGTAAAGGTAAAAAAGAAACAATGCCAACGCTATGAAAATGAATTAAAAATGTATTAAACATTCCTTCAGTTTTAATTTTCGAGTAATTTTACGTTTGTTAAGAAAAAAAACCCTAGTGAACTGTTTCAACTTCATTCATGCACTTTTAACTATTCATTTTACACATATGATTTTATTTGATTTTCTTCTGTTTTAATTGACATTGTTCTGATTATAAAACTTTTCATGAAAAATCAAGACACGGCAAGCGACCCCGACGCTGAGTTTATGCTGAATTTGATAGGAGTGAAGGAGAGGAGAGTCATCGCAGAGGAGAGAAAAGCAGATGCCCTAGAGAGAATAGCGGCGGCATTTGAAAACAAATTTGGCATTTAATAAATTTGAACACAAAATGATAAAGTAGTCATGTTCTTTATTACAATGTAAGTGTGTGATTTAATGAATAGATGAATTGTTAAAATAAATTTGCAACTTGAATGCGCACATCCTGTGCTCTCCTTGGTGCGTTTGCGTTAAACACGGCATTGTCATTGATGTTCTGTACAACCCCACCCTCAAGTAAGGGGACTTTCTCTGAAACAGCTAAATTATGAAGCCGGATACAGCATTGAATAATTTGAGAACATCTACTTGGTGAAAAGGGGAGTACTCCTCCAGTTCGATGTAAACACCTGCAAAGATTTACTTGAATGTAAATACTGTGGAATCATTAGAATTCGTGGTGGCTCAATTTTCGTGATATTCGTTGGTAGCCCCCCCCCCACCCCAAACCACCTCGAATTTACATCTTCATAGGAAATTTAGAAAGAGATATCTTTGTTACTGAATCTGAAAACCGACCCATACACGAAATTACATCTCCACAAATAACCAAAAAACCCACAATCTAAGAAAATTGGCCCACAGAATTTTAAATGAATTCACAATAAAATTGTAACAAGGTTTATTTATGGTTGCAATAGATATACATTTTTTTCTCAAATAAAAAAAATGTAAGGTCGCATTTATCGTAATGAACGTTTGAAATAAAATATTTGCTTGCAAATATGACATATAAAGATATTTAACGAAAAATTGCGTTTAAATTACCTAAATCTGGATTTTAATACCCCAAACGATTTTTCTATGACAACACGAGTCTTTCCATGGGCATCGTTGTAATTCACTTCGTGTTGATTGGCTGGGGATAAGAATGGCGTTAAGAGCCATTCCTTGAGAGGGTAGCCAGAATCCCCATGTAACCACCCACCGCCTTCGAGATGTTCCATAACACCTGACAATCCCGAGTTGCTCAAAACGAAAGAGTCGTGAGTTGCCCCGGGAAAACAGGTATTAATTTGAAGAAATCTGAAATAATATCAACCAATTTTTCATCCTTTATGCATATGTAAGCAAACAATTAGCATTCTTATATTTGTTATATTTGTTTGGTTATATTTGGTGCAATAATTATATTAAAATTGACATTTACATTTTCAAAGGTTGTTATTTCATAAAACCCTTTTGATGATATATTAAATATTTTAATTTTTTCCTGTTAAAGTTTTTGCGTATACAAGGGTATTTCTATTACAAAAAAATGATGTGCTAGGATTTATGTTTTAATCAGTACCGTTTATACCTCATACTGCCTGCATATATACAAAAGCAGGCTCCTGTGGTCCACTCATGCCCGTAATTGGTATTAGAGTACCATCGATTGCACCAACGCAATTTGGAAATTTGGCAATGTCATAGAACTCAGATTTTACATGGCGTAATTCATTGGCAGTAACTGGAAACTTAATGTTGTCCACTGTTGTATTTATTGCACTGCACACTGTATAACAATATGATGAATCTGCGTTAAAATCCTTAATGATATATATAAAGAATATTTGAAAAGGAAATGTACAATTGATTAAATGTATTACAGGCATGTAGAAACATGAAGGATATTGTATACAAACATGTACAAATTATTATTGTAATTATTATTATCAGTATACCCCATAGTACTCGCAATTGTCACTTTTCTGAAACTGCTAAACCTTATTTCGTGAAACTTTGCAGTTATTGAGAACACATTGTGTAGGCGCATATTACAAAGAAATTCCGCTTCCTTTTTTTCTGGGAATTTCAGTACTTTTTATTATATTCATTTTATCTGTACAAAATAAAGACTCAATAATTGAACGAGTTTTAATACATGTAACGATTACTTTGGAATTATGCCTCATTTTGAATTACTTGTGTGTATTTAATGTGTAACATGCCATTTATTTTGCATGATATTGTCAAATATTAAGAGGGGAGGGGCGTGGGATGTGTTAATTTGTTCACTTTTTCTTTTATTATCATTTGTGAATGCAGGGGACAAAATGTTCAAACATTCAAGGGGTCAAATCTCCACATCAACAATGCTACGTGCCTGCAATAATAAAAAAAAATAGAGTTAACATCATTTTAAAGTTAAAATAATGAAGTATAACAACCTGTATGTACTACTTGGGATACGGATGATCTGGAAACGCCATGAAGGTCGCCTACTTCCGAAAAGAAGTCCGCCTTTGACAGATATCTTAAGGTGATAATTACTTGTAAGAATGTTTATCTTTATATATACATGTATAAATAAGTATGCAAATGTAGTTTAATTATATTAATAGGTACATTGTAAAAACCCATTATATTTGTCATATCATGTGATTCCATGCGGCAGTATTTGTTTATTTATGTGTGGATATTTAAGAAGCATACAATGCTACAGTAAACATTCACATAATTTATTTTATACATGTACCTGAATGTGGGTGGGAATGGCATGACTTTTGTATGTAGGTCGCCTCACAATAGGGTCAACATCATTTATCAGTTTTCGAATGACTCTTCCTGGGAACCTATACCTACTTACGAGATCTATATCATCAAGATACTCGAGAGGGTTGGTTCGGTCCCGAAAAACGCGTTCTCGCCGAGGTGTTTCCCTTCTTCTTCTGCGAAACAGCCAGAAAGTCGCCATTATCCAATGTTTACGTCTATAGTTACGCCTGCCTTAGACTAGCCGTAGAATTTTGTCTTAACTTAAGGCGGGCGCAAAGTTACGCCCTTTAGTGAAACGGACCTTAGTCCAAATGTTAGACGTAAGTCCGGACTTACGTCGGGCGTAGAGTTAAGACAGGCGTACACCTTTTAGTGAAAGGGGCCCCAGTGCTCTTTCTCTGTTTGATATTAAAGCTGTCAACACCTCTTGCTAGGTTTGCCTGTTTTGGGATAGGCGAATAAGGTCAAACAGTATTGCTAAGTTTAGATAGTGTTTATATAAAGCATTTCTAAGTGATTCTCTGTTTGACATTCAAAGGTCGTTAGTTTTTGATTGCATGGACTTCTTTTGTTTCTTGTTTTATTCTTGGTACAGTGTACACAAATCCAAAACGACAATGAAGGGGAGATATTGTATGCAAAAGAAATTGTTTTGTTCTCAAACTTCCTGTATTGTTATAATACAGACTCCACTCCACGACTCCACTCCATGACTCCACTCCACTCAGCTTTTTACCCCAAGCCGTACTTGAGAGTGCATCAGCGAGAAGCAGACGAAACAAGAGAAGGATACAGGTGCTTCTTTGGGGGAGAGTATCTTCTATTTCGCAGACACTTGACGTAACATATGTTTCTTAAAAAAAAATATAACCCCATACCTCTACTACAATTTTATTAGTACATGAGGTCAAATTTCATTTTTTACGAGGTCGAGTCTTATTATTTCTGCCCTTAGGATTTTGATAACTTTTCGTTAATTAATTTTTGCTGTTAACGTTATATTACTGTTAACGTTATATTCATTGTTTTAAGATTGAAAAATCGAATGTTTACAAATTTCTTAGGGGACCCTATCGAAATTTGTTGGAACAGCGCCAAATTATCACATATTTGTTCAATATTGTTTTGTATTTCTGCCCCATAGTTTTCTTTTTTAGTCAAGTAGATGAAAGTTATTGCAAAAAGTCACCAAATTATGAGGACTCATTACAAAGTTTAATTTTTCGATGCCCAATACATTTACCTCTAAAATTGCCATATCTCGGTATAAATACATACCAACGCAGATACGGCGCGGATGATTTTTTTTATTGTAACTAAAATAGTAATATTTAGATTGCTAGTATGCTGTCATCAGTATTTAGAATAATATCTGTGGACGTCTTGAATACTCCAGCGAGTTATGCGTCATTCTGCAACGTCATGCATTGCTTACAGCATGCATTAAGACCAGTGAAAGCCATTTCCAGCATTTCCCCTAATTTTTGTCGTACGTACAATCACATTTTGAGACCAGTATGCATTATACAGATAATGTTAATTTTATATTAAAATCACAGTATTTGCTAAAGGTGTACTGTCATCTGTCACACATATAACTGCATGGAATTAAAAACATTCATGCACACTCGAATATTAGACTCTCGGCCTCGTTAAATAAAAAAAGTTAGTACTAAACTATTTAAAGTCAAAATGCAAAAGCACGATCTCTACGTTATTTTCAGTCTGCATTAAACTTTCTTTTCTTCTCAAAACTACTATAGAAGGAATCGAGAAACAGACTTCGCAGAATCATTCACAGCAGTAATAGAATTGCATACATGAAATTGTTAGCCCCCCCCCCCCCCCCGGGTTCTTACGGCCATGAAGTTTATAAAGTTTACAAAATAGGTCATGCCTCATGGCAAGACATTTACAAATAAAAAGTATTGTGTATAGTTATAGTGTCTCTTCGACAGACCCTCTTGTCTGAGATTCGTCATTTACAACGACGAGTTCAAATATTAATTGGTCATTCTGTTTATAAATTCAAGTGCAAATCGAGATCGAGACCCACTAGAAGCATTCCAAGATATCGATCCCCCGACCCCCACCCCCAGACACGCACACTCACACACACACCGTTTTTCAAATATTTATTGTTTTTTCATAAACAGCAAATACCAGGGATTTTCGTTTTTTTTTTTTTATTTTCTAATTTTTCTTTTCATTATTTTCATATTCAGTCAGACATATTAAACTTGCGTTTTACTTTTTATCATGTTTTTCTTATGTTACATTAAACAATGTCGATCTAAGTTCCCCTTTTGTTTACAAATAATAGTTGCGAGCATTAAATAATCGGAGATAGCTGAGTAGGATTTGATTGTATGCATTAAATAATCGGATATAGGTAAGCAGGATTTGATTGCACAAGAAAATTTAAATAATAATACATAATATATAAATCGTAATATGTCACAGAAATAAATGGGGGTGTTCTACGATATCGAATCAATCCAACTTTGAAGAGGGACATACACATATTTGCTTGCTGTTCTAAATCGAAGATTGGCAAAATTATTAGAATTTTTTGTAGAATGAAAAAATTACCTTATACGTGAATTGAAATTAATGTTGGAGAAATGTTTCCAATATATATATCATCTTTTCTCGAGAAATCATGCAAGGGAGGGGGGGGGCGCTTTATTACATGTAATATGTCCTACGCGTTTCATGTTCTTACTAATGATGAATTTCAACAAACGTCTTAAAGATACTGCGTACATTAAATTATAACAAATACAATAGGTCCCTTAGAATTCGAGTTTTATTTAAAATAGTTATATTTCCTCTAAATAATGATCCTGGTACATCATATGTACATTTTTTTCCATGAAAACTTCAAATTTAACACAAAAATTTTATATAGAGTCAGCAAAACTTAATTTCCTTTTATTTTGATTTATCAGGAAATTGAAAAGCTGTTTTATTTTAAAGAAATATCAGGCGCGGATCCAGGAATTGAAGTTCCTGGATTTTAGAGATTTTCTAGGGTAAACATGAGGTCTACCAAGTACACATATTTACATTTTCTGGACGAAACTGTGGTACGTTAACTTTGACAATTTTAGTGGGGGGGGGGGGGGGGGGTGCGCACCCCTTAAATCCGCCACTGAATATAATATAAATTTGGAAGGATTACATTCAACAAGGGACAGAGAGCTTTGTCTAAACTGAAATTATGAGAAACAAACCTTTTCTGGAAGAAAAAAATCTTGGAAAAAATTATTCTTTTAATTAAAGGTGCATGGACACAGATTTGAAGTTAACATTTTCTGTATAATATTACGACTTATATATTTTAAAAGCATTTCACACAAAAATATATTTAAAATCTTATTTCATCTAAAAGTTATTAAAACTTCAAATTTTTAGACGGGTTTCGAACTCGAGCAATTAAAAAACCGGAGTATCAAATTGCTTTTATAAGACTAACGCGCTAACCACTACGCTACATGGCTCATGATGAATTGGGGGTATTTAAATCATGTTTGTGATATAACCCTTGACTTAATGGACTTGAAGTATTTCTCCAAAAGATGCGAATGTTTTGTCTTAAAAGTGAACTTTTAAGGTATAGTGGGTCTTTGCTCCATGTTTTTGTAAACCAAAAAATGTATATTTTATAGCAAACTTTTAGGATTATCTTTCTAAAAAATGGAAGACCCACTCATATTGAAAAATACTTTTGAAGTATGAGAAAATGATCTTCATTGGTTTTTTTTTTCGTGTATATATGTAAGCTTCTTCATAAGCGAATAATTTCAGTTTTTGTGAGGTTTTTGTAAATTGTTGTGATTTTACATAAGGTATACTTTAATTTCAGATGAAATTTCAAAGAAAATTCATATATAATTGAGATTTAATTTTTCACTTCATATTTGTCGCACTATAAGCATTTCGTCCGCCTTACCCCCCATCTACTTTCAGAGAAATTATGTGTTTAATCATAATTATTTTTTCAAAAAATAATTTTGTAGATGAGTAGATGACCAAACATTTCCAGAGTTCCAATTTTTAGAGAAGTTGAAGGGAATAGAGCATATGATTTTCCTTAAATTTCAAAAGGATGTTGTAATATTGATGTATCTTGAAAAAAATTAATATTTCACACGATATTTTTGTTGAAATCTTTGGTAGGATAACATATATGTGTAGCATATCATTATATGTGTAGCATATCATTTGTGATTAGACCTTCCTAGCTGATGTTTGGTACTCTCATCGGCATTCTTGTTTTAAGCATCCACCAATTGACATTTTACTACTTTTTCCTAGGGCTCCATGTTTCTCTTCCATCAAGTAGAAAATCATCCACATGCAGTTGATGTTGATGCATAAGTTTTAACTTCCAAGGCTCCTGATACATCCTGTGATGTTTTAGAGGTTTGCCTTTGTTCTGCTTCTGAATGAACTTATGAACTTGAGTACTACAAGCAGGGAATGCTCACTCCTCCATGGCACCTGATCCCACCTCTGATGTTTTAGAGGTCCGTGTTTGTTCCGCTCCTATTTTGTATTGTTATATGGACTTTGATATTGAACGCTGTGCGTTATCTTCACATCCTTCATCCATCAATAAACATTTTTCTACTTCATGTTTACTTCATGTTTTCTGCTTCATGTTTATCTCCCATCAAGCAGAAAATCATCCACACTGCATATAACTTTCTACTTGAAATTAAATTAATAATGGTTTTAATCTTTTTTAAAAAGGAATGTAGTAAATATCAATTTTGCAAAATTTCAGAATCAACGTAATTTTTTGGTCTTAGTAGTAAGTTCTTTTGTAAAACGGGCCCCTGATTTTTTTCTCTTTCAAAAAACAGAAAATCAAATCTTCCACTGTTGATGTTAATGCTGAAGTGTTCAAGGTTCTGTTCAAGTGTTGAATGTCAAATTTGATCAATATTTGTGTGTACTTGTATATATTACTATTTAAAATACTCTGGTCGGATGCTCACTCCTCTATGGCTCCTGATCCAACCTCTGATGTTTTCGAAGTTTGTGTTTGCTCTGCCCCTGAATATATCTATAAGCTTAAATACTGTTCATTATCTCCATATTTCTTGTAACGTTAATATCGGTTTTTCCTCTTCTTCTTTATCATCCGTCAATTAATATTTTCCTACTTTTTGCTAGGACTCCTTATTTCTCTTCCATCAAGCAGACAATCTTCCACAATTGATGCTAATGCATAGGTTTTCAAGGTTCTGTTGAAGTGTTGAATGTTAATTCAAATTTGATCAATATTTACCAGTACTTGTATGTATTACTTTAAACATTCTCCTCGGATGTCCACTTCTCCATGGCTCCTGATCCAATCTCTGATGTTTTAGAGGTTTGTGTTTGCTCTGCTCCTGAATGAACTTAATGAGCTTGATTATTGTTTATTATCTCCATATTTCATTTTACGTGAATATAGTTTTTCCTTCTTCTTGTTTAACATACATCCATTAACATATTCCTACGTGTTGCTAGGGCTCCATGTTTCTCTTCCATGTTAATTCAAATTTGGTCAATATTAACCTGACTTATATATATTACTATAAACATACTGGTCGGATGCCCACTTCCTCATTGTACCTGATACCACCAGGACCTCTGATGTTTACAGGTTTGTGTTTGCTCTGCTCCTAATTGAACTTATGAGCTTAAAGGCTGTTAACTATCACTATATTTCAATTACGGTTAATATATTTTGTTCCTCTTCTTGCTTAGTTACATCAATTACTGAATTAGCATATTTCTACTTTTGCCATCTGGAGCTTATCGTTTCTCTTCCATCAAACAGAAGATCATCCACAGTTGATGCTAATGCTTAAGTTTCAACTTTTTTTGAAGTGTTGGATGCAAATTCAAATTTGATCAATAATTATTGTACTTGTATATATTACTACATGTATTAGTACAGTGGTCAGATGCTCACTCCCTCATGGCTCCTGATCCTACCTCTGATGTTTTAGAGGTTAGTGTTTGCTTTACTCCTGATTGAACGTATGTGATTGAATACTGTTCATTATCTCCATATTTCATATAATGTTGACATTTTTTCCTCTTCTTGTTTAGCATTCATCAATTGACATTTTTCTACGTTTTTCCAGGGATCATGTTTTTTTTTCCATTAAGCAGAAAATCATCCACATTTGAGGTTTTTGCAAAATCAAGTTTCACCTTTTGTTGAAGGGTTGGATGTAAATTCAAATTTGATCAATATTTGTACTTGTATATATTACTATTAATACACTGGTCGGATGCTTTCTCCCCCGTGACTCCTCATCCTACTTCTGATGTTTTAGAGTTTTGTGTTTGCTCTGCTCCTGAACATATTTATAAGCTTGACTACTGTTTATTATCTCCATATTTCATGTTACCTTAATATCTTTATTTTCCCTCTTTTTGTTTAGCATCCAGTAATTAACATTTTCCAACTTTAAAAATAAAAACAAAAATTTTAAAATAGCCCCATAGTATATGCATATAATCACATGGAATAGGTATTAGGGAGCAAACTACTAGTATTACCCGAGGCGGCGAATTTGATATTTCCTGAGTACACATTCCATAAATGTTTTATTATATTGACACAATTATACGAGATTTAGAGATTTAGTGAAGTCAAATTCAATCAATAATTTATTATTGTGTAAAAGAAATCAACAATAAATTGATCAAACATTCAGAATCGAAATAATGATTAGAAGTTAAAATTCTGAATATCACAATCATATCACAGGCAAGTACTAATAATTGCTTAAAAAATAAATATTAACAATTATCAAGCTGGAGGATTGAGTACAATTTCCATATTGTTTATATTGCTTTTTAGGGAAGACTTATTTCTTCCACCACGTATCCACAACAGGATTGGCTGATAGCACATTGAAACTGCTAAAATCAGAAGACATACATTGACCTACAATAAATAGGGAAATTTTAAGATAAGCTACTTCATAAAAATTATATTACATATGGAGTACGAATGCATAAAGGAACAAAGCAACAAAAACAACAACAATAACATAATGCCGTTATCGAGATCAGCTTCTTTGATTAGAGCTTTCCCTTGACATTAGCTTTGATCAAAGACAAAACTCTTGTTTATGGAATCAACTATGCGATATAAATACCATATACAGGTAAAAGGAGTATACACGTTGAGTTGACACTCAAAATGTCATTTCTATCATTAAGAACATCAAATGTTAATCAGACATCAATATCTTTCTCTCTAGTAAAAAAATTGTACCTCATTTTGTTGATAGTTTGTGAGAAGGAAAGAAAGAGCCAATTCTTGCTAGAATCTTTATGAGATCCTGCCATGTATTTATAATCATTTTTTATGAAAATGAGAAGATCACTTTAGTTCAAATTCAATTTTTGGTTGTTAATATTGATAATGTGTAAAATTGACACATGATTTTGAAGAATTAATTTCCTTAAAACAATTGCAAATAATCAAAATAAATATAATTGTTTTAATTATTGCATGCAGTAAAAATCATGCCTCTTTTTTGTCATTAACATAAATATTTCAATATATCAAGGTAATGCATGTTACCTGAACACTAGTACACACTAGTTAACTTACATGTGTAAAACCATTCTGATATGCACTACTCCATTCGAAGAAGGCGTATTGTAACAAACTGGTTGAACCAACGCTAAACATTGCCGTGCCGTAGAGGACACCAAAATACTTCAATGGAAATCTAAATTGAAGAAATCATTCTCAACACAGCACTGAAACTGTTACAATCTTGACATATAAGTTATATACATCAATCCTGTGACTTAACCATGGTATTACGATTAATTTTATTTATCATATATAATGAGTGTTTACAAGAGCAATAATTATTTACTGTGCATTTTTTTTATGGTCTTTCCACAGAGATTTATAATTTATCTGAACTTTAGTCATTATGTATTCCCCATACTTTATCAACCGCAAGATTAAGAAAAGTATTAACTTACGCTTCTCCAAGAAATGCTATTCCAATTGAAAACAGAAAGGAACGATAAAAAGTAAACAAGATGAAGATTGGCAGTACCACTGAAAACGAATCGAACAAAAGAGGAAGTAGGTAACACAGCGTGCCAAACAACCAAGTAATCGCCATAGGTAGGCATATAGGAAAGAAGTATCGTCCAGGAATTGGGCTGCCTGAAAAAAACATATCATTGAAAAGCTTGGTGTTAAATACGAAAATCTTTATCCCAGAACTCATTGTATCTTAAAAAGAGCAATGAATTGGATTCGTTCTGTCTTTATCAGTGATAACTTTTTTTAACCATACATGTACAGGTGATGTACTCAAAATAACAGCGTAGAAAAGATCTACAATTTAGAAATGACATTAGCAAGTTATTGACAAACAAGAATATCAGCTGTCTCATGTAAAGTCATCATTTTATAAATTCGTCGGTCGAGACAATTACCTTGCCAGCAAATACAAATTAACATTAAGTCAAATGCGGACTGACGTTTTTCATACAAATTGTTAGGCCATTAAATGCACACTGTATTGTCGAACGGATTTTTTCGTTATTTACCAATTATGACAAGGAGCCCACAGCGGGTGTGATCGGCCGACAGGGGATGCTCACTCTTCCATGGCACTTGATACTACCTCCGATGTTTTGGAGATCCATGTATGTTTGCTCTGCTCATATTGAACCAACATCACAAGCAAAACTGGTTTATATATCTCAGTTGATTCGATACGAAAGAGCATATTCTACGTACACTGTATACACATTTTAAAATGAGGTAAGTTATTGATAAACAAGTTGCTAAAACAAGAATATCAGCAGTATTATCGTGTAGACATTTTACATCATCATTTCTAAAAATAAATAAAGTTAAATAAATATCATTTTTTGGTCGATACAATGACCATAATTGTAAAGATGAGGTGAGGAAATTGTAAATAGCATCAAAAAAAAATTATCATTAAGTCAAATGCTGACTGACGTTTTTCATTCTAAATGTAAGGCCATTGTACACACACTGAATTGTCGACGGATTTTCCCGATCATGACAAGGAACCAATGGCCGATGTGACCGGTAAGCAGGTTTATACTATGCTTTCTCCTCCATGGCACCTGATGCCACCCCCGATGTTTTGGAGGTTCATGTTTGCTCTGCTCCTATTTTGAATTGTTTGATGGACTTTTGAGCTTGAATACTGTTCGTTATCATCATACATTTCATAGCAAATGTTTGCCGTGTCTTAGAATAAAGTTACATGAAATGCTTTACAACATTTTTTGGTCCTTTATCAGATAGTGATTTGTACCTCTAAATCTTTTTCTCTGCCAGTCATACACAAATCCAGCTACAACAGCCGTGATGCAGGTAGAGATAGTGGTATAAGCGAAGGTATCCAAGTAATAGCTTACTGAAAAAAAGATGTCGGATTGTGATTTCAAGCATGCCTGTCAAATACATACAAAAGTACGTTTATGAATAACTGATAAAATACTTCAGTTCTAAAGTAATACATATCACCTAGGGTATGTTTCATATATAAAGTGGATCAAATATGGAATATTACCAGTAGATGAATTTTCAGTCATGTTAGATAACCATGTATTTAGCAGACCAACAAAGGTAACAAACAAAAGCACGTTGATGGACATCCAAATGGTATGGGAAACGTACGCAAAAGACAAAATGTGTGTCTTCAGGTTGTCCTCCCCAGGAACACTTTTTTCACGATAATTTTCTAGAATACAACGTAAATTATTTTATTTGCAGGTTTTTTTCAAATATTATTAGTAATGTTTGTATGTGATGATATACAAAGTTAGTTATATGCTCTCCCATTAATAGGCCATTTTAATTAATGGTTTATATTATAGTATATTCACTTTCTTCCATTTCCAGTAGTGTGTTATTTGTATCTTCCAGTAGAGTGTTATTTGTATCTTCCAGTAGAGTGTTATTTGCACCGGTATCGCTGTCTTTGCGTTTTGGTTTTTTCTTATGTATGCAGGCCGATCGCTGTATATGGTCTTTTGGTAGGAATACAAATGTTTGGACATTGAAAATTACGAAACCCATGCCACATAGGAACAAATAAGAATGCCTTCTTGGTATTCCATTCTCAAAAGCCATCTAAAAAAATGATAAAAATAATAATAGTTAAATAATAATGTCTTTTGAAAGAGAGGTTGCAAATTTTATACACTCTCTTTTTAAGTTTTAAGAATTTTTCCTCGTTTTGAAAGCATCGATGAATATTACAAGTATATCCAACTAATTTATATTTAGAGATGTTAAAAAAAGATATACAATGAAATCAACATTAAAGATAATTTATCAAGTTTGTAATTATATTATACTGGCAGAAATCATTTTAAACCTGGCTGAGCCATCTACATCCGAAAAGACTGACAAAAGTGTACATTTATGAATTAAAAAAAGATATACAAGCTTAAGGGGGTAAAAAATTCATCTACAGTTGCCAGTTTTTAAGATTTTCTTTGTCTTGTTTTTATGTTTAGATAATTAATGTACAATGTAATACATTTTGATAATTTGGGAACAAAGGGTAATTTCTCGTATTTCTAGTTCTCTAAGCACCATATATCTTACCTTAACAAAATGCTGTATAATTGTTGAAGCGTCGAACAAACCAGAAAACAATGCCACAATGGTGGTCTGAATCGTCGTGTACAAATTAGCAACCTTTGAAAGGAAATTCAGAAGTGCAAATTCTCACTCTACTCAGTGAAGACAAAGGAAACCGATAGTAGTTGAAAGGAATAGTATTTGATTATCTGAATGCAAAAGAAATTAAAGAGAATTATTCATTTTGTTTGTAAATTTGTAGGAAAAATCTTGATATAATAACATAATATCTACTGTATATGCATTATATATATTATTATATTTAATAAAATAGGTAAGATTAATATACAAATATACTATTTTATTTAATAAAATAGTTGTACATAAAGATCATGACACACTCAAGTTTTAAGTTAAAAAGTAAAACTTTATAAAAACCCAAAAGATGCCATAAATTTTGTCATAATTGGATTGTTGTTTAAGTAGGTTTAAAAATGAATGTGATGCTTTCGTGTCCTTTGTTGTTGAAAAATTACGCACTTTGAAAAAAAATTTCAAAGTGCACGCTATTGCACTTTGAAAAAAACATTTCGTGTTATGAAAATTAACGCACTTTGGAAAAAATGTAAAGATTTATATGAAAAATTCAAATTTATGACTTTTTTAAAATCACTTTAAGCGTTTTAAATATTTTTGATATAATTTGAATTGTTTCTTCTTTTTTTTTTAAGAATATAGTAATTTTATTGCCTTTTCTCTTTTTACAACTTCTAAAAATGAATTCTTTCTCTCTCAACGGTTTATATAAAATTTCTAGTTTTAATCTGTTTTAATTAACTAATTTATTATTGGAAGTTTTCAAGGTCACATTGAAAATACATGTATGTTATTGGAACAAAATTCTTCGAAAACACATTAGTTACATTAGTTGTTTGCTTTGAAAACAGACACCTATGTATTGGAAAGATAAAGAGAAAACATGTATTAAGGATAAATGTCATTGTTTATTAAATAACAAATGAGTGTGTTTATACAATTAAAATATATTTATTTAACTTTGAAAAATTTCAAATCAAAACTTTGCAAAGTGTTGATTTTGAAAATGAAAAAATTTTTCAAAGTGAATTTTAACACACTGTGCTGTTAAGCAATTTGATACAAAATCACTTACAGTTAGAAAAACAAGAACAACTATATTTATGGTATTCTCTAATAATGAACATTATATATTTCAATGCAGGGTTAAATGTTTTCTAATGATGACAACTATTGCAGAGATTAGGCCATTTCTGACAAATGGACTGTTTTTGTTGCAAAAAAATAACTTGCATGGTAAGAAATATAAGAGTCCGAAAAATTTTTAAGCTTTTGTGTCAAAACGCTAAAGAGCATGTCACGTGATCGCCTATATCACGCGATCCGCGCATGGGCAGAATGGTTGCAGATTCGCATTAGAATAGGAGAGGACTAACTCGAAACATTTCTACACTGAAACCCCATATCATTTCTTTTTAAGCAAAGGAACTTTTTGATCACTGTACATAAAGCATGACACATACTTTAGATAAAAAAAACTGTAAAGTTGTACAGTTTGAACTGATTTTTTTAAACCACTTTTAAAGTTTACAATTCCTACATAAGGCATCATCTATTGATTAGCAAAAAATTGAACATCATTTGCTGATAACAAGCTATAAATGTAAACAAGAGCCTTTTTTTTTGTTAACAGAAAATATATTTATAACAAAATGAAATTCAGCAAAAAAGCCATGGCATTTAAAATTAACTTTAATTTGAAATATTTTACAGTACATGTATATTGCATATTAAACAAAAACATGACAAAGATCTTGTTTACATAACAAAAAATAAAATGATCCTACATAACCAAAAATAAAAATATATTGAAATTTTTATTATTATAATGTGATGCTTTTATATATATAATATTGAGTAACATTTCGTGTTATGAAAATTGGAGAAGAATGTATTTATATGAAAAATTCAAATTTTAAAAAAAGATACTATAAACAAACAATGACTTTTTTTCTTACAGCTTCTAAAAAATGAATTCTCCGATAATACTACAAAATAACCTAAAAAAATAATGAAAAAATTTCTAATTTTCCATATGTCTTTGTTTATTCTACAGTGTGTTTATACAATTTATTTATTTAATATCAAAACGCTGTTGTGAAAATGTAGTGAATAACACAATGTGCTGCTACTAATACAAAATCATCAACAACAAGAACAACTATAATTATGGTATTCTCTAATAACGAACATTATATATTTCAATATAACTTTAATGACAACATTCTATGCCAGACATTGACTTTGTGAAAAAAAAAGAAGCAAAATTTGTTTAAGCTTTATTCATAATCTGTAAAGTTGTACAGAAAATCAAACAAGAAGCAAAAGCCATGGGTATTTTACAACAATTACATTGAAATAAAAAAACAAAATGAAATTATACTAGATTATCAAATAATATGTAATCATATTGGCATATCAAAAATAAATAAATAAATAAATTAAATTAAATTAAAAGAATCATATTAATAAAAAAAATTAGAATTATATCATACATTGAAATTTAACAAAGGAAATGATAATACATTTAATAAATAAATTAATGTATCCAACAAGATTTTTTTAAAAAAAAAGTATTAGTATACAATCCAACTAATAATATTCACTTTACGATCTATAATATTCTCAAAATGATATGTAAAAATCGAAATAAAAAATTATAGGGATATAGGCTGACGTCTGTGACCAAAAATACTCTTTAATGAGGACTTTAAACATTATAATTATATGTATAATCAAATATGAACCCTTTTCCCTATGATCAGGCGCAAAGAATACAAAATATATTATGAAATACAATTTTATATAATAGAGGTCATATAATCTTAACCCCATCATAGGTCTGATTCTTAGTTCCAGGATGCTCAAATTTTATAAATTAGGTAAAATGGTAGATGGGGCTTCATTTATTATGTTAGATACCTAAGTTGGTAAGTAGGTTTACTAAAAAGTTTCGAAAATTTCCGTACACCATCCGGCGTTTTGAATGCAATATAGTTAGGGGTCACTATTAAACAAAAAATTCTTGACAAGGAAATAGTCATCTGACGTTACCGTTAATTCACTGGTTTATAAAAATATATACGAACATTATTTGGCCATTGTGCACTTCACTGCCCTAAGACTGACGGACAAAGTGCAATGCCACCGCTCCCTTTAAATCGCGTTAAAAGTAATAACTTCATAAAACATTTCTAAAAGAAATTACATGCAATACCTTTGCTGGCAAATGCGATGCAAAGAAATCCAATCACATATACTGACCTACAAAAGAAAATAATATATGACAGAAAAATTCTAGACACGTAATGAATGTATATATTTATTATATATTATATAAATATAAAAACCAGATATATCGACTTACATAATGGATGTATATATTTATCGATATATTTGGTGTAAAGGGCTACATTTGTTATATTATTTTTATTTACATAGATTGACAAAACAAAATATGAAAATAATGGGAAAAAGGCACAAGTTTTCTCTCTTTAACACTTAGAGACTACAGATCAAAATAAATTAAGCTGTTTAATATAAATGTGTTTCCTTTATAGTGATGGAGTAATTGGAGGATTTACTTATTCATAATACTTCATTTAATTGATTATGTTTAGTATCAATTTTTTGACAAACATATCCAATATGTTTTAATATAAAGTAGATCCTAAATTCAATGCATTGTAACGTCTCATCAATTACAGAACATTAAAAAAAATTAAATAGAAGCTGAAGTAAATATTTCTTTTTAGAAACATGAAATCATACACTGTATTAGCTATAATTGAAATCAGTACTATTTTTTCTACAGAAAATTATCTCCATTTTAAGAAACATCAAGTCGATATGCATTTCAGATTTTATAAATAGTAACTCAAGTCTTTATGCTGTTATATACTTAATCATGTGATCAAGTTTGAGCCAATCAGAGAGCTTGGAATAAATGATAAAAATAATATATGTGTGTAAAGTTATACATAAAATCAATTATTTACGTGCAAATAACACGAGTAATCCTTGTTCCTAAGCGCATGGATATCTGTCCTACGATAGCTAGTCCACAGTACATCGACCCAACAGCAATAGAGAACCACAAGTTAAGCTTTTCCTCCTGTGCATGGCAAGTGTTTGTCAAGTTTGATATAGGGTTTGATATGTTGTTATCAAGTATAGATTTGTTGTATACATCCTCTGATGGACTGGCACCTTCCCTCCAGGAATAACCACAGAATTCTTCGTAAATGCCCTCTTCTTTCAAAACGAAGACTAGAGAACCCCAACCCCAGATGATGCCTGCAAAGCACACCACCTCCAGAGAACTCCATATTGTGCACAGAATTCGCCAACGGTAACACAGCTCCATATTCTACCCAGCCCTTATCGTGAATGTCACTTCTTATCCAGACGTACATATACCTTTAATTTTTCTTTCAAAATAATAAAATTAGCTGCTTGAGTGATTGGTAGGTTAAAGAAAATACCTTGCCTAAACTCTATAACCATAGTCATGTTATTGTACGTAATTTATAAAATCATTGATGGTTTAATCTAGAACAATTTTGTGCACTTTGTTAACTGATATGAAAATTGTTCTAGTTATGTCACCTATATATCGAAATACACACTAAATACACCTTTAATTTTTTTTAAATAAATGCACTTAGATACCATTGAAGTTTTCATACCTGACTTTTAATTTTTAATGGTGGACAAATTTGGTGAGAACATCTTGGTGAAAATAAGTAGAATGGATGATTTAATATTTCAGCTTGCTACATTATGTCCTGATACTAAATTGCATCAATGACAAAACTAGGATGTTCAGTATAATCATGAATACATCATATATGTAACAAAGCCCGTTGTTAAGAAAACATCCGTTTTAAAGGCAGTCCGGATGTTTTTTCTCAGACCTGTTTTTTTGTTCACACCATTAATTCATATTATAAGCTAACATATTCTGAATCAGGTACACATTTGTGTGCATATTGTGCTTACCTCATTAGCATATCATAATTTCTTTTAAAAAAGTATACATAAACTTAAGTTGACAATTTCTATGTAAAATTGTTCATCCACATCCAAACAAATTAGAATCATATGAATCGAATTTTTTTTACAGAGAATTGTATATTTCTGCTTATAAGTTTGTGTTTTTAACAGAAAGGTGTGAAAAACAGAAACAGAATATAATTCATTTCTTTTCAGAACAGGTAAATAAATGGAAAATAAGAACATGACACAGATGGTTATATCCACTTTTGAATATATTACAGTTAACTTGACCCAAGGTCAGTTCATTTAAATGTACTATGAATGTCAGTATTAAAAATAATCCCTGTTTATTCGAGGTCAACCAGATTAATTTTTTTTAAAATATCCTTAGTTTAACAAGCGTAGCATTTTTGTATTTCAAGTTTAAATTGAATATCTATGTCAAAACTTAAGATAAATAAAAGAATCAGCATACATTTTTACATGTCTTTAATGCGTATTTCATGATTTTTTCGGAAAATACACATTGTTGACATTTATTACAAGATCAGTATGTACTGGTCTCAGCTGACAAAGAAGGTAACAACACTGTTTTTGTTTGAAAGTCTAAATTTTAATTGTATTTAAAGGATCTGGGATTGAAGTTTACAAATAATAAATTATATCTAACTTATACCCATAGCAGCCCCCTCTCTTAGGAGGAAATATATTTCAGTTTTAATTATTTTTATATTCCTCAGACTCAAGATAAATTTGAATTATTATATCTACAATAGATTCCTAAACTTAGAGAAAAAACTCTACAAAGATATTACCTGGTTCCAGTAAATGTTCTACCAAGCCTCTTTCTGTACTCTTCATCAAAATATTAACAACATAGGAGGAGAAAGTGTACAATAATATATTGGAAAAGTTATGTTTAACAAATGTTAATACTTAGAAATTCAAAGGTCCTTGAGATCAATTTTTGTACAAAAATTCATATCATAATGTACGATATTCAACTTTTTATACAACCAGTTCCCACGATAAATTAAAGCCTAGGCTTTTTGACAATGACGACTACCTTTTCAAAAAAATTCTTTATTTCCCTCTCTTTCTCATTCGTCATTTGCAACATTATTTTTAAAAAAGTATCCTGTTGTCTACATAAAAAATCTAAGTTTATTTTAAAAGATTCTCAAGTTTCTGATTGTCAATACCCGGTATATATTATTTTTCGGAGACCAAGTCTTCCTACAATCTTTCTTAACAATCTCTTGGAATTCTCGTGTGTACCAATGGCGCTCCGTTATTGGCAGATTTGTTTTTGTATTCATTTGAAGCAAATTTAATTCAAATACATATACACGAGAAGAAGAAAACGCATGCCTTCAACTCGTATTTAGATATATAGACGACATTTTATCAATTAGCAATAGTTACTTCCATTCATATCATAGAGAGCTGAAAATTAAATATTTTCCAAAGTCTGCCACATCTGTTTCATATTTGGATATTTCACTGGACAAAGACGTTAATGGTAACATGACAAAAACTATATGATTTATATAACTTCAACCTTTCAATCAAATTTCTTTCTTATGAAGCAATACATGTATATCCCTATCTTTTAATATGTTACTTAATATGTTTAATATTTCAGCTCGCTACATTATGTCCTGATACTAAATTGCATCAATGACAAACTAGGATGTTCAGTATAATCATGAATGCATCATATACTAGTATGTAAAGTCAGTCCATTGTTAAGAAAACATCCGTTTTGAAGGCCGTCCGGATATAAATAACTGCAGTGTTTTTCTCAGACCTGTTTTTTGTAAAAGTAGAAAAATAGTTTACAACTTTAATTCATATTATTGAGCTAACATATTCTGAAACAGGTAAACATTAATGTGCGTATTGTGCTTACCTCATTAGCATATCATAATTTCTTTTAAAAAAGTATACATAAACTTAAGTTGACAATTTCTATGTAAAATTGTTCATCCACATCCAAACAAATTAGAATCATATGAATCGTATTTTTTTGTACAGAGAATTGTATATTTCTGCTTATAAGTTTGTGTTTTTAACAGAAAGGTGTGAAAAATAGAAACAGAATATAATTCATTTCTTTTCAGAACAGGTAAATAAATGGAAAATAAGAACATGACACAGGTGGTTATATCCACTTTTGAATATATTACAGTTAACTTGACCCAAGGTCGGTTCATTTAAATGTACTATGAATGTCAGTATTAAAAATAATCTCTGTTTATTCTAGGTCAATCAGATTAATTTTTTTTTAAAATATCCTTAGTTTATCAAGCGTAGCATTTGTGTATTTCAAGTTTAAATTGACTATTTATGTCAAAACTTAAGATAAGTAAAAGAATAAGCATAAACTTTTACATGTCTTTAATGCATATTTCATATTTGAAATTTTCAGAAAATACAAATTTGTGACATTTATTACAAGATCAGCATGTACTGGCCTCAGCTGACAAAGAAGGTAACAACACTGTTTTTGTTTGAAAGTCTAAATTTTAATTGTATTTAAAGGATCTGGGATTGAAGTTGACAAATAATAAATTATATCTAACTTATACCCATAGCAGCCCCCTCTCTTAGGAGGAAATATATTTCAGTTTTAATTATTTTTATATTCCTCAGACTCAAGATAAATTTGAATTATTATATCTTCAATAGATTCCTAAACTTAGAGAAAAAACACTCTACGAAGATATTATCTGGTTCCAGTAAATGTTCTACCAAGCCTCTTTCTGTACTCTTCATCAAAATATTAACAACATAGGAGGAGAAAGTGTACAATAATATATTCGAGAAGTTATGTTTAAAAGACTTAGAAATTCAAAAATCCTTGAGATCAATTTTTGTACAAAAATTCATATCATAATGTACGATATTCAACTTTTTATACAACCAGTTCCCACGATAAGTTAAAGCCTAGGCTTTTTGACATTGACCACTACCTTTTCAAAAAAAATTCTTTAGTTCCCTCTCTTTTCTCATTCGTCATTTGCAACATTATTTATTAAAAAGTATCCTGTTGTCTACATGAAAAATCTGAAGTTTATTTTAAAAGATCCTCAAGTTTGCAAATAGACTAACAAACATAATTTTTTTTTTACTATAGATAGTCATGGCATTAAGTTAGCACCCCACAATAAGCTGAAAATTGTTCCACAAAACTGGGCCAACCGGAAGTTGAGTGGATTTGGTATGGACACTAATGCACCGGATGATTACTAGGCGATATACAGAATCAATGACTATTTGCTATTTGATTTATAAAAGGGGGACTACTGAGTCTCCTTTGGCAACCTCACAGACCACCTTTAGTGATCAAGAATTTCATATCTGAGCAAAAATGGTGCGCACTGCACAGCTAAATTGGTTTTCGGACAAGACGGTCATTCAAGGGTTTTTTCATGATACCAAAACATTTGTCAGTCCCACTGTTTTGGAAATAATGGCCTATTATATACACTAGTACCGATCCGGCAAATGTTTAATTCACATGTAAGAATTAACAAGTGGTGCGTTAGCAATTTTGTCTAGTGTACTATTTCTTCAAATTTTGCAACAACGACTCAATTCCTAGAGATAATTTTTTAAAAGTCCAAGTTGAAACTTTTGCATAATTTTTACGTTTTATTTCTTGTAGATAGTTTATCTAATTAATATAACTACTAACTTTTGGTCACAGCATTTCTACAATTTGATTGGTAAAGCCACATTGCTTGCCGGAGCCGGTGCCTTATTATAGGTTAAAATGTATAAACATACACTGAACCTCTTCAGAGATGTGAAAAGTTCAGCATACGTTCAGCATTTGTCATGTTTGTTTATTGCTATTTTTATCTGAGACGATAAAGTACATTTTATTGATTCATGTTACACTCTCCGGAAGATAACAATCTCTGCTTCTTTTAATTTCTATGCATTTTTTTAAATTCGTTTAATATTTAAAAAAAAACTTTTAAAATTACAATGAGCAGAATACTTTTTTGCAAAAGTTGCAACATAGCAGGCAACCTACATGTACCACAAGATCACTCTGTACCGTTTATAAGACAGTTCTTTGTCTTTAGAGATTCTAAATTTTAGATAAACATATGACATACTTGAACAAGTTTAAATATTAAATTAGATGTACTCAAATGAGCTCAGACCCACTGAAAAAGCTTTGCATACTTTGACTAATTTTAACTATGCCAAAGGGAATAGCAACTTTAAAATTGAGACCACCCCTTGAATACCGACATTTTTTTATCTTGGCCTAAATGTACCGAACGACAATGCATACCGCCAAAAGGTCACTGATTTAAGCAAGCTGTAACAAAATGACAATACGTGAAAATCAGTATGATAATCTATTTCGTTCTATTACTAAAAGTGAAGAGAATAAAAGATACAAACGATGATTGTTCTAACGAAAATCTATGAACAATGCACATTTAAAAAAAAAAAAACTCGGATCTCTGGAAAGTCCGGAGGTGGGATCAGATTCGTAGGAGGAATGAACATCGACTTTTAATCGGTCACCCCCCCCCCCCCCCCCCCCCCCCCCACCGCGAGCCATAGGTATTGATTAGGTACCGGTAGAAGGAACATTTTGTAGTCAAATTCATTAAAAAAAACAATAAAACTAAACATACAAAAAAACAAACAAAACAAAACCCATCAATTGATAAGAACAATTCACCCCAAAATACAACCAAAAGATAGGTTACAATCGGTAACATGGTCATTATATAGACCATGGAATATACAAAATACTGAATTTAATCGAGGTTGTTGAAATCCCTGTAACATTAACTAAGCAATCAGTAGTCTGTATTGGTTT